TTCTATAGAGCACATGGTAATTACGTGTCAGCTACTGGAATTTATTTTCCCCGGCCAATTCAGCTATTTCGATCATTTAAACATGCATTATGCAAAAGCTAAATCTGATTATTGCAAGTCTTAATTTAGGCTTCAGATGTTATAGAAATTATAAATTAGATCTTTATTTAAACAACAAGACCAAAATCAACTCTATAGACCCACGGATGGCTCGGCTACAGCTAGGATTTAAATAGGATTTCACTAATTGATTAAATCAGATAAGGGGTAACCTGATGAAAATACGTCAGTTAGATCGAGGCTAAATGATAGAGTGTACTTAGCGAGGCCGCTGTAAAGCGTTTCCGTATGCCATTGAAAACTTTACTTGATAATCGAGATATGTAGGTGGAGTTAACGCCTGTCAATCAAACGTTCGACGAAGGTGAAGACACATTTCGCTACCATTTCTAGGCAGTACAAGCCCACATTTTCGAGAGATGGATAGAGGACAGGCTAAAAAGAAAGTGATTTTTCCTACAATCAGGAAATTACAATTCGATATGCGCAAATATCAAAAGGAACCGAGATCTTTGGGTTATAAACTTACATTTCAAGTTTCAACAAAATCGGATAAAAATTGTGACCTTGATATACCATATTTTCACGCTATTTGAGTGTAACGGTGATATAATAATACGTTTTTTATAAATTGGATAAAAATTATTATTCAGGAACTTACGGTCCGATATGCGCAAATATCGAAAGGAACCGCGATCTTTGGGTTATAAACTTACATTTCAAGTTTCAACAAAATCGGATAAAAATTGTGACCTCTATAGGGTCCACAACCTTGATATACCATATTTTTAAGCCATTTTGTCTGTCAGTTTTGGGCCGATTTTCACGAAATTCGAACTCAGTCGTCCTTAGGGTCTAACGGTGATATAATAATACGTTTTTTTAAATCGGATAAAAATTATGACCTCTATAGGGTCCACAAGCTAAAAACGCAATTTTTCGTACAATCAGGTGCCATTACTCAGGAAATTTCGGTCCGATATGCGCAATATCGAAAGGAACCAAGATCTTTGGGCTATAAACTAACATTTCAAGTTTAAACCAAATTGGATAAAAATTGTGACCTCTACAGTGTTTACAAGCTAAAAACGTGATTTTTTCGTACAATCAGGGGCCATAATCCATGAAGTTACAGTCCGAAACATGCCAGTAGCGAAAGGAACCGAGATCTTAGAGTGATAAACCTATATTTCAAGTTTCATTGAAATCGGATAAAAATTGTGACCTGTAGACTGTTCACAAACAATTGAGGACGGACGGACAGGGGAGACGACAATATACGTCCACATGAAAATTTACTTTACAAAGTTTTCGTGCGTTATCAAAAATGACCGGCAGTGAAAATTTTGAAGTGGAAGCCCTGGTCCGCAAACTTCGTATACATACTTTTACACAATTTGCTTACAAGGCAGGGTTCGAATTTTATTTTTAACACCAGAAGCAATTTTTTGCTTGTTATTTTTAAAATTAGAAGCAAAAACAAAGTGTAACAAGCAAAAATTTCAATAGTTGTAATTAAACCTTTTTAATTCAAATTTACATAAAGTTAACACATTTTATTGCCTGCTGCCAAATGGAACAGAATTTGGTCGTTTGGACCTTTGTCCATTCAACCACCACTTGTTTACAAATGGTCTCGGGTTGAAGTCATTTAATGGTGGACCTTCCAGGTCAATTCTCATTAACATGTCCACAGTACTATTGGACAGTCTACACCTCAAGTCACTTTTTATACGTTTCATCGTAGAAAAACCTCTTTCACATGATGCATTTGACAGTGGAAAACAACTGGTAAGATGAATCACTTTCATAATGTTGCTATAATTGTTATTGACATCTTCCTGACTGACTCTTTGCCAAACAGCAAGGGGATGATAAGCTCTAAAATGAGTATTTCTGGCCACATATAACTTTAAATCTGACCATTCAGTGATTACAGAATCAGTATTACAAATATTTTGCAGAACATGCTGAAAGTGCTGGATAATATACTTTAGGTCTAAATTACCATGATATAAGGCTGGTAAGTCATTTTCAGCAGGCCAGTTCTTATGGTCAAAAATTTGGGCAGCAGTGAAAACTGATTTCCCACCTAAAATATCTTCGAATCGACTTTTACAACAATCAATAATTTTATTGAGAATGCCATTTTTCTGATCTTCAAGGACATCCTGGTCCACAACACTCAACAGAGTTTGGCCCTTGTAGGAATTTCCACTCACATCATTATTAAATGATTGTAACTGAGCACCTGGATGATCTATCATCTGCTGGAGAGAAATCTGTGTGGATTTGATTTTAGTCACAGCACTGCTGACATCAATGTCATCACGTTGAAATAGTAAGCTTACTCTGCTGACCTCAGATAGGACATCTTTAATGAAATAGAGATACCATATAAATTTAAATTGCGTAAGCCTTTTGATGTAGCCTTGAGTTTTAGCTCTATCTTCTCCTTTATTGGTGTTGTCTGATGCATAATTAGACATACGAGTCAAAATAACTCCCCAGCTATTCAAAAGTTTGGTGACTGCTTGAAGTTTGTGTTCAACCCATCTTGTCCCATTAGCTTTTGTTGGTTTGGAGAAATGTTCATCCATTATCTCTGCAATGTCTGTAGCCTCTTTATTCCTTTTTGCAGAGCCCTGATAAAAGTGGTAGACATTCTGCAAACCTTCAATTATATTGTTCATATAAGTATCATTAAATGCATCTTTTACTGCCAGTTCTAACCGATGTGCTAGACACCAGACAGATACTATATAATCTGCATTAGCTTCTTCTTTCAACAAGCTTATAACTCCTCTCCTTTGGCCCATCATAACATTTGCACCATCAGAACAGAAGCCTATCAATTTCTGTTTATAATTTGGCACTCCCAAGCTTTTAAAGGCAGTGTTGATTGCTTCCAATATTCCTGTTGCTTTTGTAGTAGGAGGTTGTTCTAGTTTGACATATCTTATCTTGGGGTAGAAGTTTTCTAAAACTTTTACCATAATCAATTCTTTAACCACTTCTGTCCTATCAGTTGAACCGTCACAAAAGATGCTAATGTAATCAGCCTTTGTCAACAATTCTTTCAATCCTTCAGAATAACTATCAGCTATTACTGAAACAAAATTCTTTACAGCTTTATCATTATAGTAACCCTTTCCAATGTTAGCATCATTAAAATTTTGAAGTTCCACTAAATCTCTAAAATCATTGAAAGGCCTTTCTTTTTTTACCAAATAATAAGATGTTCTAAACAATTTGTCCATTTTAATAAGCTCATCTTCACTCAGCTTCTTAAAGGCTGTTTCAATTGGGGGAAGCTGGTCTTTTTTAGTGATATCAATAGCAAGTTTGGCCTGAAATGCCCTATCATGACTGATTGATTTCTTGTGTTGCTGGACGGATTCTTTCTTTACTCTTTGACTACCTGTGACAAAAGAAGAATTTCTGTCACTGCTATAACCTTTACAAACAGTACACCAAATTTCACAAACAATGTCTGTATTGGTTCCATCATCATTCTGTTTGACCTTATAGCCAATATCAATGTTCATATCATGCATCCACTTCTTGACAGTTTTGACACTTGCCTGAGGAATCATTGACTTAATTTTTTTACTAGGTGACTGTACCAGGTTTTCATTGTTATCTTCGCATTCCTGGCTATGTGTATTTTCTTGGTTTTTGCGTTTAAAAAATGCAGTGATCATCGTTTACACGAAATACTACGGTAGTAGTAATTTCGTAGTATTTTCGTTACGGACGAGTAAGCCGTGGGAAATGACCTTTTCACCTTCCCACGGTCAATACAGTTAGGTATAACATGATTGGTCGATAATATCACATGGTTTTAATTTTGCATATATTATTTGTCGGATGATGTGTTGTTATTTCATTGGTTAAGTTACGCGTGGGCGATTATTTCCGTACTCTTCGTTGAGACTCGGGTGTACTCGGAGTTTGTTCAAGGGAAGTAAGTCTTACCGAGACCCAGTCTAAACACAAGAAAATGGTGTCGTACGTGAAATTTTGTCGTAAACGCTTTCAATCTATTCGAAGAGTTCAGCTATAGAAAAACTAAAGTATTAAAATATTCTTTTTAATCAAAATTACGTAGACGCAAAACTTTGCGTTATAGTATAAATCTAACACGCTATTTTCATATTTCAACACGCATTTTGCGTCTTTGCGTTCGCTAATTTCGAAGCCTGACAAGGAGTCGCCATTGAGCAGATTCGTTATGATTTTCGTGAAATTCGAAGACAACCATTATCATGTTTAAGAGTGATATATTCGAACAATTTTTTTTAAATTGGATAAAATTGTGACCTCTAGAGTTGGACACAAGCTAAATGAACTGGGCTAATGAAGACGGGCATACGCCATACATACAGTGTGCTATGAGGGAAATTTTGCCCGGGCAGCGGCACTACGGCCTACTTTTATATCGAATTCCAACTGCAAAGAGATCTTTTACGTGCACACCAATGTGTACACGGGACCTTGGTTTTTCGTCCCATCCGAACGACTAGACAGCTCTCCTTGTCAGGCCCTCCGTTCTGCATCACTGACAAGGGGATACCATGCTGGAAAATCTGGATTAACTTTCTCGGCCAAGGCTGGGATCAAACAACCGACCTCCAGGCTAGCGAGCCAGCTTCTTACCCACTTAGCCACGTGATCCCCAGCTAAATGAAGATACGGTCCGATACATGTTAATATTGAAAGGGACAAAGATCTTTTTGAGATAAACCTATATTTCAAGTTTAATCAGAAAAAAAATAATTGTGACCTGTAGAGTGTCAACAAACAAATTGTGGACGGACAGATGGGCAGAGGAGACGACAATATACATCCACAGGAAAATGTGGGCATATAAACAAACAAATAAATTGGCCTTCATTTGTCAGGCCAGCAATTGTATTAGATCCTTCAGGCTTGCTTACCCATTATCAGTGTATTCGTTTTCAAAAATAATTAATTCTGCTGGTCGCTTTCTCACACTACTCCAAGGTGAGGAAGGATCAATCTGGACAGCATGTGAGCTAGGACTACAAGCAATCATCTGTAATATAAACAATTAATTCCTTATTTATCTTCACTTCCTATTTCTTGAAAGCATCTTTTTTTAAGATAACCTATATATATAACCACCAGTAGGTTGTGTAGCTCTAAGATATAGTATGTTCCAAATTGTTTGAACTCAAAATGCTCACCAACCGCAAAAAAAAACCCCGAGAGCATCGCTAATGCTGCAATATACGTCCACATTCCAGCATTGATTGATATGGTACTTTTTAAAATGAAGAGAATAAAATATGAAATGGCTGTAATATGATAAGAGGCAAAGAAGGCTAGGCGATGGGTTTGTTTTGCCAAATTTACAGTCAAAATACTAACAAAAAAGTGGGTGTGATACTGCCGCAGGTCGGGGCAAGCACCAAAATAAATAGTTGTTGTCTTTACGGTATAAGGAATAAATATGCAAAGTTCCAAGATGATCCATTCAAAATTGCAGCCTGCAGACGATAAATACAAAAAATGGGTATGGCTCTGCCCCTGGGGGGTGGATATGGTACAATATAAATAAGTACCACTCTGTTATTGAAATGACAACATCAATAGTTTCAAAATGATCTGTTAAGAATTGCGGCCTGTAGATGACAAACAAATAAATACAATAAATGGGCGTGGCTCTGTCCCAGGGGGTTGGGCATTCACCAAAAACAATAGGGATCATCCTTAGGGTATAAGGAATTCATACGGAATTATTTCAAGACGATCAATTAAGAATTGTGGCCTGTAGGCGACACACAGACATACAAAAAGAAAATGGGCATGCACCCCAAATGATAGGAATGTTCCTTCGGGTAGAAAGAATAAGTATGCAAAGTTTCAAGATGATACGTTAAGAAATGCGGCATGTGGACGACAAACAAACAAATACAAGAAATGAGCGTTGCTCTGCCCCCTGGGGAATCGGGCATGCACCAAAAACCATAGGGATTATCCATAGGGTATAAGTAATTCATACGAAATTTTTTCAAGACGATCGAGAATTGTGGCCTGTAGGCGGCACACAGACACACAAAAAGAAAATTTGAGTGGCTCTGCCCCTGGGGGTTGGGCATGCACCCCAAACGATAGGGATGTTCCTTAGGGTGCAAAGGATAAGTGTATGCAAATATGATATGTTAAGAAATGCGGCCTGGCTGTAGACCACAAACAAATACAAGAAATGGGCGTTGCTCTGCCCCTGGGGATCGGGCATGCACCAAAAACAATAGGGATCATTCATAGGGTATAAGGAATAAATGTGTAAAGTTTCAAGATGATCACTTAAGAATTGTGGCCTGTGGGCTACATACAGACACACAAAAAGAAAATGGGCGTGGTTCTGTCCCTGGGGGTTGGGCATACACCCAAAACGATAGGGATGTTCCTTAGGGTACAAAGAATAAGTATGCAAAGTTTCATTATGATACGTTAATGCGGGCCTGTAGATGACAAAGAAATATAAAAAAATAGGCATGGCTTTGCCCCTTGGGGTCGGGAATGCACCAAAAACAATAAGGATCATCCTTAGGGTATAAGGAATAAGTATGTAAAGTTTCAAGATGATCACTTAAGAATTGTGGCCTGTAGGCGACACACAGACACACACACAGACAGGGGCGACGGCATATACGTCCACATTATGAATGTGGAAGTATAAAGATAGGTTGTCAGGCAACGAAACATACGCCCACAGCAGCTAAATCGTCCAGGCAGTCAACAAGTGTTGTCGCATATTTTTACTTCTTTCGGTAATGAAACATTTATAATACACTAAAATCTGATTAAGAGTAACAACTGTTGAAGTAATTGTCAACTGGCAGTAATTATCGGAAATCGCTGAAAATCAATAGGCTTCTGTATAAATTTAAAGTCAATCGGATATTAACTTTGGCCTTTAGAGCGTCCACAAGATTTTTTTAAGTGATCAAGGGCCATAACTCTGGCAGTAATTATCGAAAATCGCTGAAAATGAATAGACTTCTTTGTCTCATGACCTTAAACACTGTGTATAAATTTAACGTCAATCGGATATTAACTTTAGCCTCTAGAGCGTCCACAAGATTTTTCAAAGTGATCAAGGGCCATAACTCTGGCAGTAATTATCTGAAATCACTGAAAATAAAAAGGCTTCATCGTCTCATGACCTTAAACACTGTGTATAAATTTTAAGTCGCTCAATATTTGGGACCTAGAAATTGACACAAATGGGTCGCAACGCATACAATAATGTAATATGAATGTATATATCAATTGATTTAAATTCAATCGTTTCTGTTTTTACTGTAATTTCTAATCAGTTAGGTTCGGCGAAATATGCCAGTATTCTCAATCGAATTTCAACCTCTAACGACTGGTTATTCCAGCCTACGCCGATAGTATTTATTGGGCATGCTCTCCAGATAAGACTTGTGGAATATGCTTAGCCTCGTTTTTCGAGTCCCTTATTACAAATAGCGCTGAAACGTATTGTGGTACACGATTCGTGTACCAATTGTAAAATGTTTATTTTGTCTTAAATATTGAATATTAGAAGGCCATCTTTTCCGGGTAAGATCACAACATCAATCTTGATTTAAACCGACAAATAAATCATGTTTTCAATGTCAAAGATTTTGGATGATATTGAGTTAGAGACTTAGCTACTTTAACTTTAGCCTCTAGAGCGTCCACAAGCAATTGTGGACGCCAGACTGACGGAGGCGTATAAAAATGATGTGAAATTGTGAATAAATCGCCAAGAATTCATTTAAAGATGGGTTCCCGCATACAAACTGGGTGATTTAATGGTATATATGGACTAAACACATATTCAAACTAATTAATTTGTCATAACTTTGCTTCAAATCCTTCTCAAACATTGTAATTGCGAAGGAATGTCCTGCTATAAAAATTCGATCAAACCAGGTCATGTTTACATCACGGGACTTACCTCTCTTGGAAGTCAGAGGAGAATTCATTGCATACATTAAGACAATGTTGTCTTTAATCGCTTACTATTTATTACAAATATCGAATCCCAATTAAATTCTAGGATTATCCACTATCCGCGTCTTTTTTATCTCAGAAAGTGTTGTACGTCTAACTCTTCATAAAGTTTATCAACTTGTACATCAAGCGCTCAATGTTCGCGTGTGACCTTTGACATCACGCATCCAGAAATTCCTAATCGTCCAGAAATTCCTAATCGTCGGGCTGTTGATTAGGGGAACCCTTACATTTTTGTCCTGTACACGCTCCAGGAGTGTTTTTCGGGGAATCCAGTATTTTTCTAGTAAAATTGGATATATACCAAAATTACCATACTTTTATTGGAAATAACCCCCTGATAATTACTTTTCTGGGAACCCATCTTTAATGTTTCATCAAATTTTTCAGTTCTAGCAATGTATTTATTTCATCGAAGCATTTCAAATATTTGTATTTCTTAATTCAATCAGCAGTTGCCAGGCAAGATACTCCCAAATTTGCAAGAAATGAATAGAGAACAAGCTAAATAAAACAAGCCAACAGTGAGGCTGATGTCCCCCGCCGAAATCCCAAAATAAATATGACACATATTCATTAATCGCACATTTACTTTTTCAAAAGTATCAAACAATCAAACAAATTATCACCTATATACCGTATTTTTCGGTGTATAAGGCGCATGCGTAGATAAGGCGCAGGGCGACTTTGGCAGAGGTGTTTCAGGAAAAAAAAAAAAATGCGTGGTTTAGGCGCACCCTTTCCCAGCGCGTGTGAAACTCGTGCCATAGCATATGTGACTCAAATTTGAATTATGTTAAATGAATGAAGATGCTATTATTTTTGGGTCATAAGACAGTAAAGATGACCATTTTAGTAAATATAAAATGTCTCTTTTGAATTGGACAGACGCATGGCACATTTATTTTCCTTTCAGATATTAACTGTTGCTTATATATATTAATAATTTTCTTCAAAAGTTTAATGTAATAATACATTATCTAAATCTGAAGTTTCATGGGATATGATTTACAAATTAATTTTTAATTTCAAAATTAATTGCATTGCTTATGTTACATGTGGACAGACATTCTGGCAGATTTGTAACATTAGCACTAAAGTTTGAAGAAAATTTCTATTTATAGTGTTGATGTAAGTAATTAATCAGATTTTTTTCATGCTAAATAAAGCATAATATTAAGAATTTAAGATTAATATAATAAAATATAATCATATATATTAATAACCTAAAATTTAAACATTTATAGGGCATGCAACTGTTGCTAACGTTACATAAGGACAGACGTTGACATTTTATAAATAACTGTTTACTTGAATTATTGTTTTTATCTAAAAATAAAAATAGTCCGTAATGAAAGGTATTAATAAATTGTATAGTATTTCTACCCTTGGGCGAGTTTTAAATTTAAAATCGGACAAAAATTATTTTAAAAGCATGTGCTAACGTTACGTAAGGACAGACGGTTTATTTAATCGGTCTGACAATTGACACGTTAGCACTTTTTTGCGGGGGTCAAAGTCATTTTGATCGAGTGAATAAGGCGAGAATGCCGATGGCCATGTTTATGCATCGGGAATCGGAAAGCCGGTTTTCTTTTCTAAAGGCCGTAAAGAAAGTGATACATTTTGAGTAAATAACGCCGTGAAAGGCGAATTAGTGGTGCTAACGTATCAAGAGTGCTAACGTATCAAGAGTGCTAACGTTAACATTTTCGGACAGACAACTGTAAAAATGGCATAATCAATCGGCTGCCCGTGTCAAATTATCCGTATCCTGTGTGGAAGATCGAGACTACATTCACGCTTCGTTTGCAGCGGTTATTCAAATTCTATCACGTAATATGAAGCCGAAAAGAAATATTAAAATAATGCTAACGTTTCGCTAAAACTGGACAGACATCAATTGGACGAAACGTTAGCAATATATAAGCATGGAAATTTGATTTTCTAAACCATTTTCCTGCTTTTTTTAAATGGCATATACTAAAACATAAACAGCCATTCCACAAATGGACAAATTTA